CAAGAGGCAGAACTGAAGCCCAGCCCCTAGAGCCTGGCACTTTGAACTTGGACTTAAAGCCTCCAAACTGTGAGAGAATAAACTCCTGTTTGTTAAGGTCATCCCATTTGTGGTATATTCTTGTCAGAGCAGCACTGGGTAACCAGAACAGATAGGGAGGCTTTGGGATCAGACCTAGGTTTGAATACTGGCTCTTATTAGCTTTGTAACCTTGGACACGTTATTTAACTTCTCTGAACATACAGTGTTTGATTATTATAAGTATCAGATGATATGATATCTATCCTGAGTTGGAATATGTTGGAATTCATTTGTAGTATAATGTCTAGCACAAAACAGGTACTCATTAAATGGGAGCTGTTATTGTCAATGTTATTGTTCTTGAGTATCCAAAATCTTAAAATTAGAGCTACAGATACTGGATCTCTCTTTCTAGCATAAAACCGAAGTAAGTGGAATGGAATGCCACCTAATATTTCATACTTTTTAAGGAGATTTTCAAAGGAAAGAAACCCCAGATAAGCAAAACACTACTAAAGAACAGCAACAAAGTAGGAGGCCTTACATGTCCTGATCTCAAAACCTGCTATATACCCACAGTTGTCAAAACAGCCTGGTACTGCTACAACAACAGACACATAGACCAATGGAACAGAATTGAGAACTCAGAAGTAAATCCATTCACCTGGGGACAGCTGGTCTTTGACAAAGGTGAAAACCCATTAAATGGGGAAGAGATAGTCTCTTTAACAAGTAGGGCTGGCACAACTGGATATCCATTTGCAGAAAATTGAAACAGGATCCATACTTCACACTATATACAAAAACTAACTCAAGATGGATCAAAGACCTACATGTAAAACTTAAAACTATATTAAAAAAAAGGAGTGAACTTCAGAGCCCTAATACATCTTACAAATACACTATCAAACTATAATGAAAACCACACAAACAACAAAAGACAAATTAGACAACAGGGACCTCCTAAAAATTAAACATTTATACACATCAAAAGATATCATCAGAAGAGTAAAAGGAGAACCAGCCTACAGATTGGAGAAACATTTTTGGCAATAAGGGCCTAATCTCTAAAATTTGTTGGCTTACAGCCAAACAATAGACAGGCATATAGAGTGAACATTTACACCTGGTAGCTACACTACTTAGAATGATCAGTCATGGGAAAGCAGAAGGGCAGTATTTGCACAGGGAGATAGCTCAGGAGACAGGAATACATAGGAAAAAAAGAAGAAAAATATTTGGCTAAATAAATCCATCTACTCCAGAGAAATTGTTCTACTCCATTAGGCACAAAAGCAAACATTTGTGATTTTAGAAAACAATTATTTTTTTTATTCTGATACATAGATATCTATTCTTAGTATTCATTTTCAGTGATTTCCTATTGACTATGGAATAAACTCCAGGGAAAAAAAATTGTAGAAAACTTTAACACCACCACAACAAAAAGACAAACAATCCAATTGAAAAGAGGGCAGAGGAAATGAACAGACACTTCACCAATGAAGACATTCAGACAGCCAACAAATACATGAAGAATTGCTCGCAATTGTTAGTCATT